AACAGTGATGACGATGATGATGATGATGATGATGATGATGATGATGACAGAAGATGAGGGAGGAGGAAGAGGAGGAGGAGGAGGAGGAGAAGCAAGAGGAAGAAGAGAAAAATGTAAACTTATTTTAAGAAGCAATAAAATGTTAACATATCAAAGTGTCTGTAGCCATCAGATAGTTCACCATTTAATGTGTGGCCAACTAGTAATTTTCACATTTCAGAGAGGTTGTATTATTCAAGCTGTTCAAAGGTTACTAATTAAAGAATTCACATTTATTTGATCCTATCCAATGCAAATATATTTCAAACGGGAGAAACAAAAAAGCAGTTCCCCCAGCTTGCTTCTAGAATCCCTTCATCCAATATCTCAAATACTGAGCTATTTCTTAATTTCAGAAATATATTTTTATGGCGATCTCTATAAGTAAATGTATCGTATGTATTCATTCACCAAGAAGCATTTAGCAAATTGCTCCCATGTGTCACACTTGTGCTAGGGGCTGAGGCCACAGAGATGATCAATGCAGTCCTCACCCACAAAGAAACTGAAATCCAACAGAAAGTCAAACAAACAAACAAAAATGCCTGGTGCATAGTGAGCAAAGCTACTTGACTGCTGTTGACTACACTGCAGTAGACTATTCTAAGTGCTATAACAGAGGAAAACTGAGCTGTGGGAGCGCAGAGGAGGGGACCTCATGTAGATGTGGGAAGGGGAGTCCAGGAGAAGGAGTTAAGAAAAGATCCCCGGGGAAGGTGGGATCAAGCTGAGTCTGCCAGGACAGCAGGTGACGGGCAGGTGCCTAAGACCCGCGGTGTCCCTGTCACACGGGGATGACAGTGTCTTATCTCTAACACCCAAGAGAATGGCCAGGTTACGGAAGGATCGCTGACATTGTGCAGGACGGTGGCCCTCGTGGACATGAACACTGTGACGTCTTCCATCCTCCAGGGCTCGGTTGCCTGGCTCCCAGCCATGCACTTGAGAGCTGGGTTCAGTTCTTAAAGCTCTTAAAACCCTCTGTTTCTGAGTCTAGACGTTTGGCAAGCGACTATACCTAAAGCTAACAGAAAACCCTAATTCCTGCACCTGCCCCAAGAAGTTACTACTCTCGAAATAGGAATCCAGAAAGGTGCCCGAGCTGGGGCTGGTCTGGCTTTAATTCAGGCGAGACCTTCTGTTGTGCTTCCAGGCACTAGGAGCACCGGAGGTGCCTAGATCCCCTCGGGATGTCACCACAGGCACCTCAGTTGACTCTTGGCCAGTGAGGAGGACAGCCCATTCATGACAGTACATGTACCTGCCCTCCAGGGGCTTAACATCTATTTCAGGACACAAGAAAAATATACATAAAGTAGAACTAGAAATGCTGGAAGTAAATGCTAAGTGCCAACAAATGCCACCAACTCTCTAAAGAGCAAGAGATGTAGTGGTTGTCTTCTCTTTAAGGATAAACAGAGCTCGAGGAGAAACGAGGCAAACCAGAAGGCAGTCTTCATGAGCCGGCACCGTGGAATAGCCTGTGCTCTCACAGTCACTTTCTCAGTGATTCCCTTCACACACGCATGCCACCAGCACCACCTCACACAGGGAAGGGGATCAAAAGCGTCCTGGATGACAGAGTTGTGATTTTATTTATTTATTTTTAAGAACCTAATTCAGTTCAGTTATATAAACTTTATATATATATATATTTCAGAGAGGAAGGGAGAGGGAGAGAGAGATAGAAACATCAATGATGAGAGAGAATCATTGGCCGGCTGCCTCCTGCGCGCCCCTTACTAGGGATTGAGCCCACAACCTGGGCATGTGCCCTTGACTGGAATGGAACCCGGGACCCTTCAGTCCACAAGTCTGACGCTCAATCCACTGAGCCAGAATGGCGAGGTCCAGAGCTGTGATTTTAAACACCAAGGTATGGAGAGCCTCACAGGCCTGGGGCAGTTTCTTTCTCAAGGCCTTCAGAAGGTACCCGCCCTGCCCACTCTTTGACTTCAGACTTCTGACCTCCTGAATGACGAGGAAGTAAACTCTGTTGTTTTAAGGCACCAGTTCGTAGTTACTTGTTATAATAGCCCTAGGAAACTATTTCAATAAAATCGTCTTAGTCTGGTCATACTTGTAACTACTCTCGTGTGATTAATAAATGTGTAATGAACATTTGTGTTTATGCTTCTAGACCAGTGGGTCTCAATCTTCCTAATGCCGCCACCCTTTAATACAGTTCCTCATGTTGTGGTGACCCCCAACCATAAAATTATTTTCGTTGCTACTTCATAACTGTAATTTTGCTACTGTTATGAATCATAATGTAAATATCTGATATGCAGGATGTATTTAGGCGACCCCTGTGAAAGGGTCGTTTGACCCCCAAAGGGGTCGTGACCCACAGGTTGAGAACCGCTGTTCTAGAAGCTACACCTCATTTTGTGGTAAAAAGATATTGCTTTGGCCTGGCTGGCATGGCTCAGTGGTTGACCTACGCACCAGGAGGTCAGAGTTTGATTCCGGTCAGGGCACATGCCTGGGTTGCAGGTTCAATCCCCAGTGAGGAGGGAGGGAGGGGAGGACGCGTGCAAGAGGCAGTGGATCAATGGTTCTCTCTCATCTTCGATGTTTCTCTATCTCTCTCTCTCCACCTTCCTCTCTGAAATCAATAACAATATATTATTTTATTTAAAAAGATGTTGCTTTAGGAAAAGTGATGCTGACTACACCTTCAGCTTAAGGGACATAAAACAGAGGGCAAAGCTGATTGGCACGTTTTATCCCACTGGCCTCAGGCACTAATGAAACCAAAATTACATTTTTAGATTTTGAAAGATGCACTTTTCATTCTCACTGAACCTAAGAGGGTGGGGATGCTACCACCATCCGGCCATCCTGGGAGCCTGGGACTACAGCCAAACCCTGAAGGCAGAGCTGAGAGACGAAGAGAAAGCAAGTCCCAGTGAGGTCACCTGAGTCCCCAAAACTCATTACCCCTGAAGCCAGTCCTCTGCCCGCCCCTACTCCTCCTAGGTCTAAAGCTCCCTTTTGGCTCACATCATTTTGAGCCGTCTCCTAATGTCTCTCAATCAAGAGTCCTGAGGACACAGACTCCAGCGTGGCCCACATCTTAATTATTCTGATTTCTAGTAAAGATGTAACAATGACGGGTACACATCACTCACATCAGAACAGGCGACGCGTTTCATCTGAAACACAGCCGCTTACCTTGTATCTCAGCGTCCCCCGCAACAAAGTGTGAGCAGACGAAATGCCATAAATTTCAGCGTATTTGGTGCTGTCTCTGTTAGGATAGCCTTCCAAATTTAACCCGGGGTAGTAATCCATGGGAGTCACCGCGTCCAGAAAGGCGACGCCCCCTTCGGCATTCACCACCTGAGGAAAAGGCACACTGGTTACACCGTGTTCCCCTGGCATCCATCTGTTGTTATTTGCATCATAAAGAAATCCAAGTTTTAAAAGAAAGCAATAGGGAATTTTTTTTTTTGGAAAAAAACTTTACTGAAACTACCATAATCAGCATTCCGTATTCAAGCTGTTTCACTAGTATGAGAATTCACAAGGCCGTATGCTCCCAAGCTTTACTTTAATTATTTTTTATTAAGTTTATTGGAGTAACAATTGGTTATATAATATGAATTTCAGATTTACAACATTATAGTTTGATATTTGTATCCTCTACCGCATGCTCACCAGTAAAAGTCCAGTCTTATTCCACTACCATATATTTGACCTCCTTTACCCAATTCACCCTCCCCCATTCATTCCCCTCTTCTTTCAAACTTGAAAATCTGACAGAAGCATTTTATTTTTTTACTAAGATCTTGTTTTCTCTATTTTTTCATGCCCCCGGATTAAATGGCACTGAATAATGTCCCCTTGAGGTTTTGTTTTTAAGCAAACAATAAGCTAAAAGCAACAGATACTCATTTAAATGGCTTCTGAGCTCAGAGCAACAGCAATGTTCTCACTGTTCTTTGGCTTCATCCCGCCCCCTTTCTGAATCCACACCAGGCACCAGCCTGGGACATTTCATTCACACAACTAGCGCTTTCCGAGCACCTACTCTGCAGGCCTGGATCTCACTCATTGCGGAGGGAATATGAGGGATAAGACACAATTCCTGCCTCCATTCACTCCTTGATTCATTGAACAAACACTTCCTGAGTGTCCACCAAGTGCCAGGAGCTGTGCTGGAGCAATTATAAAGAGCTCATAGCCTGCACTCGTCAACCTACAGTGTGTGTTGGGGACAGGGAGCAGGGGAAATGTCCCCTCACAAGAAAGACAACCAAATGAGCATATAATGAAACTCAAAAAAGTGCTGCCCCCACTATTACTGCTGGTGAGAAGTTAAATCCCCAATGCCCAAGCTCTAAATTTCTCAGTAGTCCTAGTACACAAAGCCCACCCCTAGCACACACTCAAATGCAGTGGAGCATTTTTCCCCCTTTAATTTTTTTTTTTAAACATATTTTATTGATTTTTTACAGAGAGGAAGGGAGAGAGATAGAGAGCTAGAAACATCGATGAGAGAGACATTGATCAGCTGCCTCCTGCACATCTCCTACTGGGGATGTGCCCACAACCCAGGTACATGCCCTTGACCGGAATCAACCCTGAGACCTTTCAGTCCGCAGGCCGACGCTCTATCCACTGAGCCAAACCGGTTTCGGCTCCCCCTTTAATTTTGATTAAAGGACTAAGTTTTTCTTTCAGCTGGTGAGGTTTACGATCATCCTTGAGATAACGGAAAACATCCTGGAGTGAGACAGCCAGGGCTGAGATTCCCAGGGAAGGGGTGTGGCTGCTGGATCTTATCCTGTTTGCACCACAGGAAACAACTGCTGACCATGTGAGTATAGCTGCAAAGAACAACCCTGCATGACGAATTCACCCAAAGAAGTCTCGGCTAAACCTAATGATTCCCAGAGCTTATCTGTAGGTAGGTTCTGGAGAGACAAAATGGAAATGTATGTCTCTCTACGGTGGAAGCCAGAAGGAAATGTATTCTGCTGACCAGGGTCAGGCCTGGTAGAATCTCTCCCCTTAAAAGGCTCACTTTGCAGAACGCCAATTACCATCTAAAACTCCAGGACTGGCCTTAGCCGGTTTGGCTCAGTGGACACAGCGTCCGCCTGTGAACTGAAGGGTCCCAGGTTTGATTCCAGTCAAAGGCACATGCTGGGTTATGGGATCGATCCCT